GCCAACCCAGTCATACATTTTAATGTGGTGAGTACATCATTCCTTGTAAAATATAAAATACCATTGTGTATGTGCCTTAGGGTTTTATTTATATAACATATATGTTGACAAGGATCATGATGTATATATTGTGTGTGCTAGTGCTGGGCAGAGGATTGACTGCATCACACTAACTGCTGTGAGGATGAAGAATAGCTTTGAATGGACCAAGAACAGAGTCGGGGAAGGTATAGTATGAAAAGGAGACAGGGCAGTATGTCAGGTAAGTGGCTTTGGCAAGGCAGGTGGTAATGGGAAAGCTAAGTCTCAATAGTTTCAAAGGAAAACTCAAAAGATCGACTGATAAATTTCATGTAGAGTACGCAAAAAGGATGGAATCAAAGATGACTCAAAAGTTGGGGGCTAAACTGAATAATGTAAAGGGCTAATAAAGGAGCAGCATTATTTTGAGGGGAGGACCAAAAAAAAATGAAAGTTCTGCTGCACACTGGCTGTTGAAAGTGTTTATTTTGTATGCAAGCAGAGCTAACACTTCGACATTTCAATTATTTGGATATACTGTTCATCTGGAGTTTGGTAGGAATGATAAGACAGAAATATGAGTACTGTTATTAAGTCATTGGTTTACATGAGATCCGTTAAGAGAAAGAAAATAGGAAATCTAAGTATAGCACCCTGGAGCATTCTAAAAATTTACAGTCCAAGAAGAGAAATCTCTGCAAAGGAGACTTTGAGGGATTGGTATGTGAGTTAGAAGTCAAAGCAAAAATGAAAACACAAATTTAAAACATGAAACCTTTGCTGATATGGAAGCCAACTGAAGAAAATATTTGAAGGCAGGCCAAGGAATTAGCCCAGTGGCACTGCACCTGCCTTGCAAGCACAAGGTCCTGAGTTCAATCCCTAGTACCAAAAAGCCCCCAAAAAACAAACAGAAAATATTTGAAGGAGAGGAGCTCTGTTGGTGAGCAGCTCTGCTGGGCCCTGCTAAGTGGCCCCTGGAACAATGGAGACTGAGCTGTGTGGCAACCCTCACAGGACGGCGACCATTCATCTTGACAAAAGCAGTTTCAATACGGTGATCAAGATCAAGGTCTTACTAACGTGAGTGAAAGAAAATAGTAGGTGGGGAGATATAGACAACTTCTGACAATGCTTTTAAATAGATTTTCTGTACAGGAGAGTAGGGAAAGAAGATCAAAAGAGAGTATTTTTCTTTTTTTCTTTTGAATGGTGGTAAAATAGTCGTGATGCAAAATTTACCACTAGAACCATTTTCTAAGTGTGAGGTTCATTGTACCCATGAAATAACAATTCCTATTGAAAGAATTTCAGACTGTTTCCATGGTGATGAGAATGATTCAGAAAATGGAAGGATTTGAGTAGTCAGTGCTGGGTAGAGAGGAACATTGGGGGACTAGCATCTTGTAAGAGTAGGAGAGGACTGTATTGTATGCAAAATTTGAACCTTGCCTTAAGCAGTAACAATACCCACCCATTTTTAATGGTATCTTTCCATGCTCCTTTCCTGGAAAAGCAAAATCTCTGCACAGTGTGTTTTGAAAGCATTTCTCATAGGTCCTTTAGCCTCTCCTCCTACTCCCCATAAGTCTATTCTCCATCACTACAGCAGCCAGCGCAACACTGCCACTCTTTAGAACACTGTCATTTAGTAGTAAACTTATATTACTATGGGACTGAAATCCAATGAATAAACTGCTTTAAGTTAGTGCTTATAGGTTGTTTTTTCAAAGCATGATCTGAGGTCCCCTCAGAGGGAATGCTGTCATTTTATACATGTGAATCTCTCAGAGGCGAGGACCTCTTCAGTTGGTTTCTGAAACTTACTCAGGAGTCTATTACAGCTACACTTTTCCAACTCTTTCTCTGTGTGAGGTCAGGTATTCTTAATGCATTTAAATCAAAGCAACATACTGGAGCATACTGAATACATAAGCATCAAGTAGAAAAATAGAATATGTGTGCTACCACAGTGCCTATGACGTGCTTCTGTTAGTCATGTAAGCTTCAGTCAGACTCGCTTCTTAAAAGAGCCAATTGAGGGATTAACTATAGCCTGCACAGCTTACAGCCTCTTTGGGCATAATCAATAGGGTGGTCCCCCACACTAAATGGGAAAAAATGTTACCAGCCACTCTTCAGACAGAGGACTAATATCTAGAATATATAAAGAACTCAAAAACTCAGATCACCTAAAATAAAAGACTCAGTTAAGAAATCGGCAAGTGAAATGAACAGACACTTTCATATAAAGAAGTACAAATAGCCAATAAACATGAAAAAAAAGTTCAACATCTCTAGCCATTAGAGAAGCACAAAGTAGAACAACATTAAGATTTTATCTTATACTAGAAAGAATGGCAATCGTTAGGAAGTCAAAGAACAGCAAATACTGATATGGCTGTGGTGTAAAAGGAAGTCTTCTAAACTGTTGGTGAGAATATAAACTAGTACACCCACTAGGGAAATCAATATGGAGATTTCTCAAAGAACTAAACTTGAAATTTCATATGGCCCAAATATTCCCCACTAGTATCTTCCCAAAAGAGTTAAAGATATCATATTACAGTGGTACATACATACCAGTGTGTACAGTGCCACAACTCACAATAGCTAAATCCTAGAAGCAGCCTCTATGTCCATCAACAAATGGATTTAAAAAATGAGCATCTACATACAATAGAGATATATACATACTTGGCTATAAAGAAGGATACATTTGAGACATTTGTAGGAAAATGGATGCACCTGGAAAACATAATCTTGAGTGAAATAAATCAGATACATAAAATTAAACACCATATCGCATCTCTCATTGGAGTAAGGCAAAGTGCAAACAGAAAGCAAAATACAACAATGGATAGAAGGAAACTAGGGGATAGATCTCTTGCAAATGGGAAGAGGTCCAAGAGACTGGGGGTAGAAGGGTAGGAAAAACATGAAGATTGAAGATATTCTATGTCTAGGTGCAAAATATATACAATAAATATAAAAATCATATGTAATAAATAGTAGCCAAGAAGAAGAAGAATAAGAATGAAAGTGCGGAAACGGGATTTGAAGAAAGAGGGTGGGGTTTGGTGAAAAAGGGAAGGGGATAAAAAAGGAAACTTTGTGATGTACATAGACCCACTCCCCATGATGAACGTAAACTTCATGTACTGCAAATATGTACTGGCAAAACTAAAATTTAAAACCGTAGCTGTTGTAAATAAAATATTTATTTGTTTATTATTTCTAAGTGAATTAATAATGAAATATCTTAAGAATTTCTATTTTAATGTTAATATGGACAGATATTAAACCACTAAGTAAAAGCTCTTTGGGATGGCAATAATTGCATGGGGTTCTTGAAAACGAAAGTTTGAGAATCATCATATGAGATGATTTCTAATGTTCCTTGTCATTCTAAACTAACACGCAGTAGCTCTGTACTACCTTCAAATAGAAAACAAGAGGGCCAGGGATTTAGCTCACTGGTTCTGCCACCTCCCTCACAAGAGCAAGGTTCCAACTTCGATCCCCGGTACCAAAAACAAAAAACAAAGAAAAGCTTTGGGCCAGGGATTTGGCTCAGTGGTTCTGCCGCCTGCCTCGCAAGTTCAAGGTCCTGAGTTCAATTCCCCGGTACCAAAAAAAAAAAAGAAGAAAAAAGGCAAAATCATTAAGTTTTAAAGATTGTTTGGTTTTATGTTTTTCCTTCTTATTGTGGATGGATTAAAGGCACATATTTTTTTTACATTTCCAATTAAAATTAACCCAAAACCTGTGATCAACAGATATTCGAATGATGGTCTTAACCTAAGTGAGTGCTATGGCTTGTATCTAGATGTCCCCACAAAGCATCATGTGGTCATAGGTGGGGCTTTCTCAGAGGGGGCTGGATCTAGAGTGTGTGACACTGGGATTGATACATTGTGTAATGCTAGGCTCAAAGGCAATAAGATGAAGGGTGTGAGTGCTGCGAGAATGCCCTAAGTAGCCTGGATAGGATATAAGGGCTACAAAGAGCAATGGTCATCTCTTGTCGCTTTGTTACCTTCTGCTCACTATGCCCCTCTGCCATGCCACTCTGCCTTGGAGTCAGCTGATTATAGACTGAAAAATCTGTAATCTATGAGCTAAATAAACCTTTCCTCTTTTAACTTTGGGTGCCAGGAATTTTGTCTCAGCAATGAGAAAATTAACAGTGAGAGATACATCTCCTTGGAAAAGAGGTAAACTGTCTATCAGAGAGAAGCACTGGCCTGGCTCTGCTAGGGCTGGGCCTTCGGCTTTCTACCCACTGGAGTTCATATGTCCTCTAGGTCATAAGTAGGTTTATCATGGTAATGGAAGAATCATTTATTTTCCCTAAGAAACCATCAAGAGTGAAGCTCAAACCCTTGAGACTAGTCTTGAGTTTACATCCTATCTCTGTTACAAAGTATAACTTTGGGTAGAGTGCTTACATTGTTTAAAGCTAGGGATACCATACTATTACCCTATCTAAAATGCTAATAGCAGTTCTTGGCTTAATTTCTCATTGCATATTTTGTGGAAAGAGCTCAAAATTTTTTAACTTTCTAGTAGCTGAATTATAGAGAAATGGGACACTGACAGCTAGGGTTTAAGATAAAGGGATTGGGAGAAATCAAGGTCACAATTATTTACCAACATATTGACAGTGTATTACATGGCCAAATGGTGTGCACAGGCTGAGCTGTAGTCAATTGGTAATGTAGTCATTGATACGTGACTGCCTCAAACTCACCACCAGATGCATTACAGTGAAATAGCTTCTCTGTTTCAACTCTGCATTCATTTGACACTGGGAGAACAAGCACAACAATAATTATGTAAACTGTTGAAGGAAAACCCACTCTCTGCTCCAAGGTGACCTTTTGCATCTTTCATGAAAGGACCATTCTGAAGAGGATACAAAGAAGAGCTGATGGCGGGAACAGCCAGTTTGCAGCAAGGTCAAATGAGAGAATCTGCTGTGATGTGGAAGGGTAGACCACTGACATGATGCTGCCGGGCTTGCGTGTTTCTCATTCATGAAAGAGGGTAGGACCTATACAATCTTCCTCATCCAACACCTATCGTAAATGACACTCATTTCATCAATGTGAAAAAATGCCATCATCCCTTATAACAGCATATGCCCTTTGATACAGATTTCAAGAATTCGCAGGTCATAAACAAGGGCTGATTTTTGTTAAGGGTCTTCAAATACTAAATAATTGCCCCTCTGCTAGAGATTTTGCTTACCTTTACCTACCTGCAACTTATGATTTATACTATGAATTATTTTAAATGACCAAACAGACAGTTAAAACATGATTGTGAACCCTTCAACCATGCCAAGCCAATGGTGAGACCCTCCTGAAAAGCTATCCTCATTTATTCCTTGGCTTTTGTTCCACGTGTGCAATGAGCTCCAAGCACACTGACCCAGATGGCATTTCACAGGCACAAGTGTGGGAAGGGCCGTGGATCTGTTATGCTCAGCAGATATCAGCTGTTCACAGAGGTATGTTCTATCCCAAGTGCACACAAAGCCATGTACCTCAGAGCAAATTACCTGCCATTCACTCATTTGTAATCCCTGCTAAAGTTAATGGGAAGAGAGCTTTAAGGTGATAAGAAGGGAATCTTATTTAAAAAGATGAGATGCCACTGAAAGCAAACTGAAGGAGCTTCTGTATATTCTAACTGACATTGTTTTAACTCATCTACTTTTTTAAAAAAGCAAAAATTGCTTGATATTCATTAAGGCCTTTTCACGTGAGGAATATTCTAAGGATATTTTATCCTGAAACGTATTTTATCCATTGGATTGCTAAACTGAAAAATGGATTCAATCCAGAGTCCAAGAGCTATGTATCATAAATTAAGTTCGTATAGTTAAATCTCCAAAGGGTAAATATATCTATAGGGTAAATACATGTATAGAGTAAATATGCTTTAGGGTAAAAATGCAAAATTACCTAACATAAGTAATTTCTAATATCCAGGTGAAATAATCTCTAAAATATTTTTTAATTTAAGAAAATAAAATATTAACACATATTTCTGTTTATTATTATATTAATATAATAATTTATATTATATGATTCTATGTTATAATGTATAGCTGATTATATATCATTATAATTATATAATAATAATTTCTATTTATTGTTATATTCTGTTTATTATTATTAACATTTCTTAACATGATTTCCATAGTGTTTCCTGTGGGTTTTTGTTCCACCCCATTAACTTTACCAGATATCAAGATGTTCTCTTCTTTGTGCAGAAACTATGTTCTTTCCCATAGTCCCTTGACGTGGTGAGTCCAACACATGCATACTTGTGTCAGTCATTCAGGATGTTTACCAGAGTCTCCCAGGTCTGCTTCCCTTCTAGGTACATAGTGGACTGAAACTCATGACACCTCTGAGAATGGGTATGGTTACTTCTGGCCAGTATGTTATAAACAAAAGTGGCATATGTCCCTCTCAGGTCAAAGTATACAATGACACATGTGAAACCACATCAGCACCTCTCACCTGTGACACACAGATGGGACACACCTGGCTTTCCTGAGCTGTATTGAATGAAGAGGGATTTTCTTGGGCTACATATAAAATATATAATCTAGTTAATGTATACAATTAATAAAAGTGCTTTTATAAAAAAATTTTATTATAGCACAGTCATTCCTAACCCATTGGCCATGAGTTCAACATGCTTGAGAGCTATTTTTATTTCTTCCAGCATGGCTAAAATGTTTCACGATAGTGACTACTCTGTCTGCTGGATCTCTGAATGACCACAAAACAAAGCCCACCAGGTGGCATATGACAAAGGACTAGCTTAAGAAAGAAAGAAATCTTCCTTATGAAGTGAAGGACAATTAGGCTGTTTATTACTGCAGCATAATCTAGCTCACCCCACCTGAACCTCCTCCTGCCAAGTGGACATGTAGTTTCTTCCTAGGGCCTTTGCCACAAATGTTAATCCAGCAAGAGAGGCTTCACATGGAAAAAGCTTGGCTGTCAGCTCTGCCCACCTCCCTTTAAATTAAATCCAGGTCCAAGTCCCAGAAACCCATATATATATATATATAATTTTTTTTTTGGTACTGGGGTTCGAACTCAGGTCCTTGCGCTTGCACGGCAGGAGGTGAAACCACTGAGCTAAATCCCCAGAAACCCTTTTTATATTATATTATCAGAGTTATACTGAGTATAACTCTGTCCTAGAACTGCCCCTAAGACTGAAATCACTTCCTAAAATGACAACGTGCTCAGTCTTACTTCACTTACTCAGTTAGCTGTGGAGAACAAGTTTGACCTGACTGTGGCCACCTTTACGCAGAACAGCACCCAAGTCAGCACAGTCTATTTCCCCACACAGTCATCCTGCACACTGTAAATAAACAAAACTACTAGAGGGCTACGCAGAGCTCTCCGCGTGGAATCCAGCGTCCTCAGCATCAGTACCGGGAAAGAGCCTGATGTCCTTGACTTTGGCTTGAGATAGACCAAGCACATTATGGCTTGGAAAAGTCACTTATGCTCTGATGACGATATGAGCCTCACCTAGAAATCACATAGATCCACTGCTCTTGCAAGATGCCACCCTTGACCATAATCTGTTGGTATGTCACTCTGTCATCCTCCATCTCTCTACCTTTTTCTTTGGTATTAGGGCAACTTGCAGTAAGCAAGTACTTGTACACAGGATCGGAATTTTCTATTACACTTCCAGCCAATTTTGTAAATCTGTATAAGAAAAATAAACTTGATCCCACCAAAGTTTCCATACTTCAATTTTTTTATCTATGTGTGTGTGTGTGTGTGTGTGTGTGTGTATGTAATTTTACCTTTCTTGCATCTCATAATGTTGGAAACTTTTAAGAATGATTCATACATCAGCACCAACTCTAACAGATTTTAGCTGTCCATCAAAGCCCCCTAATGTCGCACATTATAGAAATGTGTTTTGACCCAGGCTGGCTAGTCAGAGAGGATTACTGTGCAAGTAACATGATTTGCACAGGGATAAGAACAGGATTTAAAGCCAACCAGAATCCCTCTGGAGCATTAACGTAATTTCTGGTCCGAGGAGAGTTGTGCTCTTCTGCTAGAGTCACAAAATGTGTGTTCATATCCACCCGTAGCAACCACCCTATTGCCACATAGAGAGCAACTGTCTAAGAGATGACAGCACAGAGAAAACCACTTTGAGATAAAAAGCAGGACTGGGGATGTCTAACGGCATTAACCGGTAGCTGTGTCATCACTACCTTCAGATTTCCTAGTTTTGAGTAGGTTTTAGTTTTTTCTGTGTTTGCTATGTTTGTTTTGTTCTCTTTTGCTGGAGGTAGTTTCAGTTGGATTGCAAGCAGAAGTGTTTCTTCCCCAGACTCTCTCTGCCGCAAGTGTCTTCACAGATCCCTCCCACAACCCCACAGAAGGTACAGTCTTCAGGACACAGCTCACTGCTGTATCTCCCTTGTCTAGTTTAGGTGTTAGTATATTTTTATCTTATGCATGGATGGACAAATGAATGCAGATTTTAATGTGCTATTTTTCCCACTTAATTCTACTTATTCCCTGGATCCACAAAATCTTTTATCTATATGGTTAATATAAAAACTTTTTGACTAGGTTTAAATAGATAATAATCTTAATTTTCTCACTTTTTCTGCCTAAATACAGTTTTTTAAAAAATTTTTCATTAAGTTTATTGGTACATTTTAGGTATAAAATACAGTTACAGTCATCATTTGGATCTTGTACCTTTACATGATGTATCTTAGCTCTTATTTTTTCCCCTTCCCCTGCCCTCCCTTCACCCCTCCATCCTTCCCTATTTGCAAAAACTTTGTTTCCATTTTTTTCCTTTTCTCATATTTTTTCTTTTCCTTTCTTTCCTTTTCCCTAACCCTCTCTCCTCTACTCCTTTAGACCTTTTCTTCCTATTATACAATATCAATTATACATTTTTAAACTTACAATATCAAGATTTAGAAGACAGCACCACAGATTTTATAGAATTTAAAAGGATATAGAAAGCATATTATAAAAATCTGTTTTGAAATAAATTTGACAACTTCTAAGAAGTACCTTGGAAGAC